CTTTCCCCCCAAAAAAAAGGGCATGTCGGCTTCGGCGAAAGTACCAAAAAACGCGCCAGGTTGCTGGGTGCGACATGGGGAGGCTGACCTCTCCCGTGGACTCGCGCGCGCGCGCAGAATCGATGAGCCGTGCCCGATGGGGGGCCGCATGCTGGTTTCAGGCTCTCGATCGCGCTCGGATCAGCGCCCGATCGTTCAAGCCATACAAAGTGTAAAAGGAGGGGAGGGGGGGGAGAGGGACAATGAGTTCGTGTTAAGCCTCGCAGCAGCACATGGTTTTTCAATACATGTTTACGCCTAATCATCCTGCCTCCAGCCTTGTCCCTTGCCTGGGATCTGCCTTCTGCCCTTCTCCTGTTCTGTCCGCGCCTCGTTCAACCCCACGCGTGGTCAGTAGATTGCTGGGCGACGAAGGGGGCCTGGGTCCAAGACGGTCATTCCCTTGTTCCGGCTCTTTCATGTCGGTCTGTCTCTCTTATAACATATTTCCAGTCCCCCTCGTATTTCTCCTATCATCCGATGCCACTGCCGCTGCCGACACGCTCGTTTTGCCCCCCCCCCCTGCCTCTCCCCGGGCTAGCCAGACTGCCGATTTCAGGTTTCTGCTGGATTCTCTGCAGCTCCAGCCAAGGCAAGTGCCGACAAGGGGAACGACAGAATCATGGTCCCCAACAGGATCTCGACAATGTCTCACATGCGAAGGCGAACAACGTGTGGTGCTCCGTACGGCGGGGCGCATGGGCAAGTACTGGGAAAACCCGGTCGGCCGGGCGCAAGGGAGCAGCAGCAGCAGGTGGACCAATGCGGGCCGACGAGACATGCAGGAACGAGTGGCAGGGCTGCCCTAGGCCTGCCTACCTCTGCTGCTCTACGTCGATGGGGACACTTTTCGTCGGCGACTGGCCGTCGCATCACCGTGGCGGACGGCGTCTTCCGCGGGTCCGGCAGGGGGGGGTGGGCGCCGGGTGGGGGGCCTTGTGATGCCCCGTGGAATTTCGTTAAGCTTCGGTCAGGCAGGCGGACGGGCAGAAAAACAAAAGAAGAGCAGAATGGTGGGGAGGAGGCGGGGTGGGGGGGGGGAGGAGGCAGCAACAGGAGAGACGAGATGGCGAGGTCGCATTTGTTATTTCAGGTGCATGGTGAGAAGAGAAGGGAAAAGGGGGCCAATATGCAGAGAAAAAGTCAGAAGTCGTCCGGGCAAGACTTGGTTGTCCGAACGACTTGGACTGGATGTGCGCCAGCATCTTCGGTCTGCACTTGGCAGGCCTGCAGAATGTTTCAGTGGGCTGTCCGGCAAGAAATGTGTCGACAAGAAGCATGTGTCGACAAGAAGCATGTGGTGACAAGAGGCATGTGGTGACAAGAAGCATGTGTCCCTGTCCATGGGACGAACCATGTCATGTTTGATCCACGG